TACTATAAATTATTAAATGCTAAGAATTAAAAAAAAACTATTTAGAATAACGACAAAAAAAGAGAAATCATAATTAAAATGACTGTCTACGGAGTCTAGTCTCGGTGGATATGAGTGTGCTCGTTTGTCCTTTAAATAACTGAAATCAAATTTATTCGCATTTTCTTTTAACCAAAAATATTTTTATTCAGCAACTGTGATGAGAAAAGACCGAGGCTAAATGTAAATTTTCCTTCTTTAATGTTCTCACCCTTCCATTCTGATGAATCCCTCGAACCGTTCACGTTGAAAAACAAAAAGAACAATGCTAATTATGCCTTTGTTCTGCACACCAGTGTTCTTTGTATCATAACAAATGCTCACCGTTAGAATGTTGGAAAATCTTACTGACAATTCAAAAAATTCTGAATATTTAGAAATCTTGAAAAATAATACAAAAAATTAAGAAAACGAGTATACAGATAAAAAAACAAACATACACACAATTGGTGACTTGACCGCAAGAAGTGAGGTCTTCCGCGCAATCTTTGGATGAACAGGAATTTAAAGATTGATGTGGCTTTGGAGTCAAAAAATCCCTCCTATTTTAGGCACAGTATGACATTCCGTGTGGTTTTCATGCCCCACCGAAAACCCCAGGTGGGGTCACGACCCGAGGAGGTTTCTTCACGTACAAAAAGGCCGGCTTTTCTGTGAGTGGGCGCCATAAAAATTATTATTAGGAACCTTAATATGTTTTTGAAGTAGTTTCCAATTGACTGCACGGATGGCGCAGTGGTTTAAGCGGTCGCCACGCCGCCTCCTACTGCGCCGAGTGTTGTGGGTTCAAACCCCACATGGGACTTTGTGGTTGAATGGTTCTTCGTGTCCGTTTCATGTATGTTTGGCAAGTCCCCCGCGACACAGGGTATATTCCTAATGCCTCCTTTAAAAAAAAAATGATTAAAAAAAAACATTATCGTCAACAGCCTTTAGTAGTCCACTGTTGGACATAGGCATTCTGCGAAGCCTGTAAACGAGTGCCTATCTATTACTAACGGATCCAGAATGAGGGAAACAACTTATAAAAACCTTATGGCACCATACCTGGCAGCGGATAAGCAACAATTGTCTGCAACAAGAGTGACTGACGTGATCTTCTTCAACCCTGGATCAGAATTAGATTAGGAATCATGTAGTGAATTGTAAAATCCAAACCCAAACTAATATAATCGGCGCAGCCATCCGCCGCCTGTCCTGTCAGACGTTTAGTCTTTATATTAGGTCTTTACCTATGAAATTGCCGTTTTGTATGCAATAAGTGGAAGTACTTATTTTTTCAAACTTTTTTATTTCTGTTATTTGAAGTAATCACCCATGCAATCGACGCATCATTGCCAACGCATTGGCAGTTTATTGATGGTGGTCACATCTGCAACCAGCTTTGGTCAATCGGTCGTCCCCACTGCTCCTTCACGACAACGCGCGACCCCATACTGCGCAACAGACAGTCTCCAAGCTGCAAGAGCTGGGGTTGGAAGCTCTCCCTCATCCGCCATACTCACCAGACCTTGCACCTACCGACTATTACTTTTTCCAAAATTTAGACAACTTTTTAGTGGGTAAAAAATTCAATTCCCGAGAGACAATACAAAATGCCTTTGAAGAGTTTGTTGCCTCCCGTCCAGCTGATTTTTACAAGAAGGGCATCAATAAATTGCCAATGCGTTGGCAGAGATGCGTCGATTGCATGGGTGATTACTTCGAATAACAGAAATAAAAAAAGTTTGAAAAAATAAGTACTTTCACTTATTGCATACAAAACGGCAATTTCATAGGTAAAGACCTAATATTTAAACACAGAGAGCTTGAGAGAAGAGTTGTCAAAAAACCTTTGCTTTTTTCAGCTTGCTGTAAGATTACTCACGTAATTAATGTACGCCCCTTAGGTATATAAATAAAAATATTAAGGGTTTGTTCTGCACCGATTGAGTTCAACTGAGATTGTCTTCATCAATTTTTTGAATCAGTTTTGTTTTTCGTTTCCCATCGATTCAACCACAATGTGTTAGAGCGAAGTGTGGCAGCGTACAGCTCATATTGTATAACAATACATTTACGTGTGTAGTAAATCATCAAGCGATGCAATTCTTAAATTATTAATATTGATTAAATGCCCTCCTTTATGGCTTTATTTATTTATTTATTTATAAATTTACACACACAAACTTACAGGTTACATCTTTAAACATCCATATTAATATGTCTTAAAATTAAAAGAATCAAGCATCTGAAGTCGAACTAGGCGAAGTCTGTATTTCGACTATCAGCGCCAACTCCCCAATTGCACATTAAGCCTTACTATTATATATTGTATGTAAGCTATACAATATAAAATCAATCTAGTCTGTGCATGTGTGTGTGTGTGTGTGTATGTGTATGTTTGCAACTATTATTGAATACTGTTCATGAGTTTTTCAGTCTCTTCATAGTCTAGTTTTTGCAGATATTTAATCAACTCTTTTTTGCACTGTGTGCCCGTTTGCGGATAAATATTGAGAACTTTATTGTTATTATTATATAAATGTGGACCGTTAAAGTCAGTTTATTCAGCCAGTATGAGATCATCATCATCATAATCAGCCTTTAATAGTCCACTGCTGGACATAGGCCTCTTCTTAGGAGATGCTAATACATTATTGCTAAGAATAATGGTTGGTCCAATATTAATGTGGAATGTTAATCATAAGTAGGAAAGTTCTGTTGTGGTGACGGATTAAGAATACAGAGTGTCACCACCCCTATTCATCCCGTGGGTGTCGTAAGAGGCGACTAAGGGAGCAAACTACGCAGGACAACAGCACTGCAGATAGAAGGAAAACTTGACACAAACCCTATACCAACCCGTCTGGCCATCGTGGTATAGTAGGCTAAAACCTCCTTTCTAAGGAAAGGCCTATGTCCAGCAGTGGACTGTTAAGGGCTGTTAATGAAAGTTTTGTTCGGTTCTTCTTTTCTAAAGATTTCACCTGATTGTAGGAGATTACAAAAGACACAAGAGCGTTACCCCCTTAAGTGCCTCTCCCCTCCTAAATGTAATGATGTGTGTGTTTTCATTAAACATCTGTTTGTTACGTAAAAACATAGATGTATCACAATGTTGGATAAGATAAGATATTTTCTGAGAATCGGATCGAATGGTAATTTTGCGTCAAAAATCTATAAATAAACAGTAACGACAAAACATTTTAGTATAATTTTCTCTTTTAGTCATACGATTCGCATTTTTTTACCGACTACAGAAAAGGATTCACTTGTATCTTTGAAGTTTATTAATAATCTCTAAAAGGGTGTGATTAATAACCTGTTTTAATAGTTGTTTATTTTGGGTACATATTTTTTTCTAACCTTTGAAAATGTTATAACGCGTATATACGCTTAGATGTGACGACGACGACTGCACGAATGGCGCAGTGGTTTAAGCGGTCACCACGCCGCTTCCTACTGCGCCGAGTGTTGTGGGTTCAAACCCCACATGGGACGACACTTTGTGTGATCCACAAATTGTTGTTCTGAGTCTGGGTGTTCTTTGTGTCCGTTTCATGTATGTTTGTAAAGTCCCCCGCGACACAGGATATGTTCCTAATGCGGGAGTTGTCTTTTTAAAAAAAACAAAAACAAACAAAACAAAAAAAAATGTGCTAAAAACAAGTCGTTAAAAAACTTCCACACACGGGTGTATTACGAAGCAGATTAGGCCACATTTAACGTCACTGACCCAATGTAGATTGTTATATTATGATAATTGATAACCCTCGACTGACCCAGTTTAAATTTTTATGCCAGCACTGATTTAAATTATCTTATCTGAGAGTATTATGATTACAGTCTAAGACGTTGTTCCGAGTGTATTGCGTTTACGTATTACATTATTGAAGCGAGCGAGTGAATCACTTGTAATCTATTATAAAAACAAAAACAAAACGAGTTACATTACCTATTACTGTATGGTGACGGATTAAGAATAGTGTCAAACCCTATACCAACTCGTCTGGCCAGTGTGGTAAATATATTTTTCTAAAAAGACAACTCCCGCATTATGAGTAAATCCTGTGTCGCGGGGGACTTTACAAGCATACAGAACAAAAACACCCAGACTCACAAAAACAATTTTTTGGATCACGCAAAGTGTCGTCCCATGTGGTGATCGAATCCACAACACTCAGCGCGGCTCAGAAAGCGGCGTGGCGACCGCTTAAACCACTGCAAATAGGATGAAAAGCAAATGCCATAATAGGTCAAAACCTCTTTTCTAAGGAGAGGCCTATGTGCAGCAGTGGACTATTTAAGGCTGTTGATGATTATTGGTTACAGGGATCGGATTTTACAGCATAGCCAATTCGAGTTACAGGTATACGACACTGACCTACTACGAGGTTTTGCTTACATTCCTCCATCCATCTGTTTAAGCCATAATCATCTCCTACCACTGCATTTCCTTTCTAAATACTCCCAATTATCTTACCTAATCTCTCTAATCCCTCTAGTAATAATAATATTTAATCACACATCTCACTCACACGGCCGTCTGAGCCCAAACTAGGTAGAGATATATATGTAACTTTTATGGTAAAATCTAGGTAAAAGAACATACCATGTTGTGTTAGCTCGTAAGTGGTATGTATATCAGATACATACCACTTACGAGCTAACACAACATGGTATGTTCTTTACTGATGATGTAATTACCGCTGACAAGCCATCTTATGACACAAATGAGCCGGCTCGACCGGAGTGATACCACGGCTTTAACTTCTCTTCTTAACGGTCTTCTTCTAACGGTCTCTTCTTCTTGAAAAGAAGAAAAATCTTCTCTACTTGCTTAGTATTAGTCGTTCTGTTGGTATCCTAATGTTGTAGTACCGTCCCAGACCAGATACAAAGTTTTCAGTATAAAACAATAATTCGATTTTTTCTATCTTTCCAGATATCTGCTATACAGCAGTTAAGCAGTGGACAAAATGAAGGTTTGGGGAGCTCACGGCGAGTTTTGTGCAAGACACCAATGGGAGGTTATAGTCGCCACATTAGCCTTATTGGCCTGCGCTGCTAGCGTCGAAAGAAATGGCCCAGGGAACAGATCGGAACGATGCGCTGGATGGGCCAGAGCTTGCCCAGGATTAGAAGCAGAATACCAAGCAGCTGACGCTGTTATTATGACTTTTGTTCGATGTGCAGCGCTCCTCTACGCTTACTATCAAATCTCAAACCTGCACAAAATAGCTTCAAAGTATCTTCTCATCATTGCCGGGGTGTTTTCAACTTTTGCCAGCTTTATTTTTACATCAGCTGTAGCCAGCTTGTTTTTTAACGAGCTGGCTAGCATAAAAGACGCCCCGTTTTTGTTCTTACTAGTAGCTGATGTTGCTCGGGGCGCCAGAATGGCAAAAGCAGGCTGGTCGGCTGGAGAAGACCAAGGCAAAAGAGTCGGCAGAGCCTTATCGTTACTAGGCCCTACAGCAACATTAGACACTTTACTAGCTGTCCTGCTAGTCGGAGTAGGAGCTTTATCTGGAGTTCCAAGACTAGAACATATGTGTACATTCGCTTGTTTAGCCTTATTAGTAGATTATTTAGTATTCGTGACTTTTTATCCGGCGTGCTTGTCCCTTGCTGCCGATTTTGCGTCAGGACGAAAAGAGATGTCTCCTGACAGTCCATTCTCGGAAGCCGATTTAAAACCGAACCCAGTTGTACAAAGAGTAAAAATGATAATGGCCGCGGGTTTACTATGTGTTCATTTGACAAGCAGATGGCCGTGGAGCGTGGATAACGGGATTATTGAGGGTCCCACAGATACATTGACTCCTGCGACCCAAGACAATGTCCTACTTCATTCATATGTGAAATGGTTTTCCGTTTCAGCTGACTATATTGTGATAGCAACCCTGCTATGTGCTCTTATTATTAAGTTTGTCTTCTTTGAAGAGCACAGGAACTGGGTGATAGATATGAATGATATGTTGGTCAAAGAAATGGTTCAAGATCAAGAGAAACGCAAACCAAAATTCTCAGTTGGAGATGATTCCGTTTCGGAAATTTCTACTCAAACAGAATGTGGTTTAGAAGAAACCGAATGGCCTACACTTTCTCCTAGTTCCTCTGCTGCTAAACTAAATGCAAAGAAACGACCAATGGCCGAATGCCTAGAAATTTATAGATCTGAAGGTGCCTGTACATCTTTGAGTGATGAAGAAGTTATAATGTTAGTGGAACAGTCACACATACCCCTACATCGCCTCGAATCCGTTTTAGGAGATCCTTTACGTGGAGTAAAACTGCGTAGGAAGGTTATAGGTGGCAGGTTCCAGACTGAATTAGCAATAAAGCAGCTGCCTTACTTAAATTACGATTATTCTAAAGTTTTAAATGCTTGTTGTGAAAACGTGATTGGATACGTTGGCGTACCAGTTGGGTATGCAGGTCCTTTGGTAGTTGATGGAAAGGCTTACATGATTCCAATGGCTACAACTGAAGGAGCTTTAGTAGCTTCCACTAATAGAGGAGCGAAGGCTATCGGTACTAGAGGTGTGACGAGTGTAGTTGAAGATGTGGGCATGACGAGAGCTCCAGCTGTTAAGCTACCAAACGTTGTCCGAGCCCACGAATGCCGCCAATGGGTAGATAATAAAGAAAACTACGCTTTAATAAAAGAAGCTTTCGATTCTACCTCACGATTCGCTCGTCTCCAAGAGATTCATATTGGAGTAGATGGTGCCACACTTTATTTAAGATTTAGGGCAACAACAGGAGATGCTATGGGCATGAACATGGTATCAAAAGGTGCAGAAAATGCCCTGAAACTCCTCAAAAGTTATTTCCCCGACATGGAAGTGATAAGCTTATCTGGTAACTATTGTTCGGACAAAAAAGCAGCTGCGATTAACTGGATCAAGGGTAGAGGTAAGAGGGTTGTCTGTGAAACTACCATCAGCCATGAAAACTTGAAAACAATATTCAAAACTGATTCGAGAACTCTTGCTAGATGTAACAAGATCAAAAATCTATCAGGGTCTGCTTTAGCTGGATCGATTGGAGGGAACAACGCCCATGCAGCTAATATGGTAACTGCCATTTTCATAGCGACCGGGCAGGATCCTGCTCAAAACGTTACCAGCTCCAACTGTTCCACGAATATGGAGATTTGTGGTGAAAATGGCGAAGATCTATATGTGACATGTACTATGCCTTCCCTTGAAGTGGGTACGGTTGGTGGGGGGACGATCCTGACAGGCCAAGGAGCTTGCTTAGAGATTTTAGGAGTCAAAGGAGCCGGAAATATACCTGCAGAGAACTCTGCAAGACTTGCTTCGTTGATTTGCGCAACTGTTCTCGCCGGAGAGTTGAGTTTAATGGCCGCCTTGGTGAATTCAGATCTTGTTAAGTCACACATGCGACATAACAGGTCCACTGTAAATGTTCAATCAGATATGAATATAACCCTCAAAGTACCTACATTATAACATCAAATTTTATTACGAATCTCAGTAATTATACTTTGGGAGGTTTAAGATTTGTAGTAATATCTTTTTAAGAAGATTTTTTGATATTTTGACAGTTACTGATTTAACTAAAAATATCGAAGAATGGAGTGATATATCCTTCCCTTCCTATCTATTAAAGCACGATCCTCTGACCAGGATTGGATATCCTGAGACGGTCTCAGCACAACATGAGAAGTTATGTTTGTACTAAATAACATAGGAGCTTTACATTGCGCGATGCAGAACGAGTTGAATTTCGTGACGATTTAAATTAGTTCTTACTTCTCTCATTTAGACAGCACTGAGTGTATTGTTATACAGATAAAGGTAAAACGCTTTATAAAATGGAGTTCTTTCTTAATATAGCAACAAATACTTGTCAAATCATGTACTTACAAATATAAATTGGTTTTCTGTGAGAAAGAAGAGGAATTTAATAATATTTCAAAAATCATTTTAAAGAAGAGATTGAAAACACAAGAAGAGTAAGATTTCTGCTTTTGCAATTATTTATGGTTTTTATTATTTGATTAAAACGGCTTAAATTACATTAATCAAGAGTAACAATTTGAATTATTTGAAAAATGTACTAAAAATTATATAAAATAAAATAAACTTAAATTTTAAATAATTAAAATGTATATCGCTTATGACAATGAATAAACATTTTTAATTAAGTATATTGTATAAATTAAATAATAAATTTATGTAGCTTTTTATAAAATCGTTTTGAGGGTAGTCTCAGTTATTGCAGCAAAATTATGATAGAAAAGAAACATAAAATACTTTCGAATATTATTTCTAAGGTATAATTTTAGTTTGTCATAAAAAATAATATTCTAATCATCCTGAAATACCAGTTGAAAATCTTTACCATGTATACAGTAAGTTGTGAATGACTGACACGACTGGCCTAATGGTAAGTGATTACCTGAGCTCACGAAGAGAAAAGCACAAATACCTATACATCTGGCTGCCCAAATTGCGAATATCTTAGTTTGACTCTGTAATTATTTATCCAAGTATATACTATTTCCATTTTTTGTTTTTTTTTTAGTAAAATCAGTAACATATAAGTTGTATCATGTGACAACATGTTATAAGAATATCTACTTTAACACTGTATGTTTAAGATACAATTTCTTATGACTATTTACGAGGATTTAAAAAAATCTAGGCTATTAGTGACCTGTTCTTTTATGTTATACTGTAGAAACTAATAATTTTTCTTCATTTATAAAAGGAATGGTCATAAAAATAAATTGAGATTACATTAATGCAGAAAGGTGTGACATTTAATTAAATGTAAGTAATATTAATGTAATTTAATTACGTATGTGACCAGTGCACATTATCAGACGGACGAGGGTAGAATGAAATCCATACTTGGTGTCATAAATGCGAAAATGAGTACCATGAAAAGAAAACCACTAAACCGATTTTAAGTGGTGATCATATCAAAGGTATAATCATCAAAACAATGTCGTGATATATTTAATGATGCGAATCTATCTAGCTATAATTGAAAAAGAGTAGCCGTGAGTTTGTTTGCCCTTTCTTCTCGTAAAGCTTATTGGAAAAGGAGCGGTTGTAGATCGGAACAGACATACAATGGATTAATTTTATTTTTTTCCATTTGACAAAACAGATTGTTGTGTGTGTTGATCTATTACTTTAGCCTTTTATATCTTCATTTTGAGTTTATACAATTATTATGGTTTTGCTTAAGTTTATATTTTGAGGATATCGACTATTTTCAGACCCAATAGGGGACTTGCACTAGGGTTATGCAAAGCTCATGCATAACAATTTGTCTTAATGTATTTTTATGGCCTTTCCTTATTCTGTAGCAGTAAACTAGAAGTAATGTGAGGCTCATTTTTATAATAGTAAACTTGTTAAGTTTAAAAATGTTTATAGAACAAAGCCTTAGTGCTGCCATCTATATTACTTACAACGAAAATAACAGTATTTTGTTTACACACTCGTTTTAATAAACGCCAGTTCTACAATATTGTTTTTAATGATTTTTTGTTGGGTCTTACCTACCCGTCCCATTTTCCTACTGTTGTGACTCCGGCAGGTGACTCCAGACTGCTAAAAAACAGTCGTAAACAATTATTGTAATAATAATATTTTAAACCCTTTATTTTGATACCATACTGATTAGTTCTGAAATATTGTTTTAATGTAAGCATACATTTCGCGCCAAAAGTACGCTATTTTGTTTATTTTTTATTACATACATATGACAGGTTTTTTTTTTTTAAATAAAGATATTTAAATTTAACCCGCATTAAGAATGTATCGGACATGAAACGGACACCAAGAGACTGGTCTGTGTTACCATTGAGGGACCACATTTGAATTTTAAGCTTTTGAATGTGTCAGCCTTTAGTAAAAGTTCTAAAACAATTGTAAATTCAGCCTCTAGTTTGTAAAAGTGGCCACTCCAAAGTCAGAATTGGTCAGAGGTGGTCCCTCAGTCGTGACCTGACAGGCTTCCATATCCATAGTCTATTTAAAATTTACAACTGCAATACATAACTAGGACGCCCACAGGCCAGGTGGAGTGACGATTTGCGCAAGATGACTGACAGGCGCTGGATGCGAGAAGCCCAAAATCGATCTAAGTGGCGTATAATGGGAGAGGCCTATGTCCAGCAGTGGACTGCTATAGGCTGATGATGAATTTGTAAGACTAATTTCCTAAATGTCAACCTTTCCCGTTCACTGTATAAAAAAAAATTGTATGCAGAAGGTGGTCACTCAAGTTCCCCTTAAGTTTAGAAAACAATGCAATTTAGTGTTTCACCATCTACATTATTCTTTTTATGTTAGAGGGGGCAGACGAGCAGAAGGGTAACCTGATGAAAGTGACTATCGCCGCCCAAGAACGTCTGCAACTCACAGTCACAAATGCGTTGCCGGCCTTTTAGGAAGGAGTACTCTTTTCTTGAAGGTTTGAAGGTCGTATCGGTTCGACATGCTAGTTCTTTTCATACAGTGAACGGGTAAGGTTTATATTTAATAAGTCAATTAGTTTTTTAGTAGGTTAGTCTGAATTTACAATTGTTTTAGAACTTTGACTAAAAAGGCTAACGCATTCAAAAGCTCAAAATTTAAATATGGCCCCTCAATGGAAACACACCACAAAGAACACACAGAGTCAGAACAAAAACTTGTGGATCACAAAAAGTGTTGTTGGGGTGTATCGAACCCACAACACAGCGTAACAGACAGCCGGCAGTGACCGCTTAATAACCTCCGATGCGTCGCCGTCACAACAGTTGTGACACCAAATTTTTACACGGTAGCGTCTCTGTCACAACATTAGAAGAATATATATCAGGGATTCCAAATATATTTATTTCATTGAATATAATTATAAAATAACTTAGATATTGAGGTAATAATGACTTCGCTAAGCTGTGACGGGGTCACTAGTTCAAGGGCGCGACAGTAACGGGTCATAGGTCATCCGCGCGCCGCGACGTCCTAAGAGTTAAACCACTCCGCCATACGTACAGTAAAGTTTATACGTGCAATTGCGCAATAAACGAATCTTATGAAACGACATTCGTTTATCAAAATCAGTGGATTTACATTATTAGATCGGGACGGATTTACATACTGATCAAAAGCCCTCATTTCGATGTCGTCATAAACGCTAGACGGTGAAAAGAGGAATATTTTTATTAAAACGTGAGATTTTCTTGTTGTTATTCTGTGTAATCACTGATGACTTGTTATGACAAAATGTAATAAGTTTTCACACTGTTAATGACTCATTTCACAAATTGTCGCAGTCACTTCTTAGCACTATTTATCTGCATGTTGTGTGCTTTACACGCTCTGAGCGGACGGGAGTGACACCGAAAAATGTGTAACAAGACTTTTTACCGACACTTCGGGTATCAAACGTCTATCAAAAAAGGAAAGGAACTTCGTTCCGACCGGGGGTCTTTGGACCCCTCACGCCATTTTTGTTATTGATCGCTCGTTACGTCAAAAGACCTGTTCGAGCTGTTGCTTACATCCTCAATACATCCGTATTAACAACATCCCATTTCTACCATTACCTTCCCTTTTTATGGTAGGTATAAGGGACCACGAGCAGATTGCTCGTTTGACACATGCACCGCCGCTCATTGACACAATGACATGTATATATTCTAGGGAAGTGTATAACTTTAAACAAAATTAAATTATAGTTTCAATATCACAGTGTAATATTTGTTTTTGTTTTACTGGTTATTTATTATTTTGTATATGTATATATATTACTAGCTGACCCGCGCAACTTCGTCTGCGTCTCTCAATGGTAATAAATTTTCTCCGTTTTCGAAACATTCTTCATTGGTGCTCCGCTCCTATTGGTCTTAGCGTGATGATATATAGCCTATAGCCTTCCTCGATATTAATATAATGGGCTATCTAACACTGAAAGAATTTTTCAAATCGGACCAGTAGTTCCTGAGATTAGCGCGTTCAAACAAACAAACAAACTCTTTAGCTTTATAATATTAGTATAGATTAGCTGTATATATATTTTACTAGTTTAAGTTTTATCATGCCTGTAAAAGATAACAATTTATTCATTCTTATTCTTTCATTCTCAAAATTTCTTTTGGCTCTACCACAGCTCTACATAAAATCCTTTGACAGTTTGTCTTTCAAATACATGACATTGGCGAAATTATGGTTACACTCTACCACAAAGCCATTAACCAAAAGTTGAGTTGACACAATGACATGTAACTGAGAAACAAGTGCGTTGTCGGCTCGGGATGGAATAAAATCACAATCACATGTTATAAATCATATGATTTAATAAACATATAATCTATCACGTGATTACTTTTCAAAACCGCTGTGACTTATGATTATGATAACGCTAGCGCCAGATCTATCTTTGACAGCTTTCGTATCGGTATCGCAAAACTTTCTCGGAAACAAAACGTCATAACATTATACTG